CTCCAGTCTGGGCGAGAGTGAGACTCCAACTCAAAAAAAAAAAAAAAAAATTTTTTTCTAATGGGCAAAAGACCTGAACAAAGATAGACACCTCACCAGGAAGACATACAGAAGGCAAATAAGTGTATGAAAAGATACTTAACATCTTAAGTCATTAGGGAACTACAAATTAAAATGAGATACCACTATACACCTATTAGAATGGTTAAAATCCAAAACACTGACAATACCACATGTTGGTGAAGATGCAGAGCAAAGAAGACTCATTTATCGCCAGTAGGAATGCAAAATGGTTCAGTCACTAGGGTGGACAGTTGGTGGGTTCCTACAAAGCTAAACAAAGGCTTACCATATGATCAAGCAATTGCACTCCTAAGTATTTACCCAAATGAGTTAAAAACTTATGTCTATACAAAAACCTGCACTTGAACGTTTAGAGCAGCTTTATTCTTAGTTGCCAAAACTTGGGAGCAACCAAAATGTCCTTCAATAGGTGAAAGGATAAACAAACTGTGGTACCCCTACACAATGGAATATTACTCAGTACTAAAACAAAACAAGCTATCATGCCATGGAAAGACACAGAAGAACCTTCAGAGCACACTGCTAAGTGAAAGAAGCGAGTCTGAAAATTGACCTAGTGGGTAATTCCAACGATATGACACTCTGAAAATGGCAAAAGTACAGAGACAATAAAAAGGTAAGTGGCTGCCAGGGCCAGAGAGGGGTAAAAAGGTGTTGCACAGGGTGTTTTTAGGGCAGTGAAGCTATTCTGCAAGAAACTGTAATGGTGAACAGGTGACACCATGAATCTGTCAAAATCCACAGAACCACACAGCATAGAATGCAAACCCTCACCTTATCTACGGACTTTAGCTAACAATAATGTACCTATATTGGTTCCTCAACTGTAAAAAATGTACCACACTGAACAAGACCATAATAGGGTAGGAAAATTGTGTGGTAGGGAACTCTGTATTTTCTGTGCAATTTTTCTGTAAACCTGAAAGTTTTCTTTAAAAAAATAAAATCTATTTAAAAATATAAATTCACAATTTCCCTTTCCAGGGACTAGTTTAGAATTGAAACTTCAATTGTAGACAACAGTCCTTTGTCTTGTTTAATGTGGTTTACTCCATAACCTCTGCTGAAAGTATAAAACTTTCCAATCACAGCCATTCATGGGCCCATCCAAGAAACGATTTACTTTCATTTCCAATGTTTCCTTTAAATACTCCAAGCTTGCCTTATTTAAAACCTGACTTTCCTCTGTCCTTAGGAAGTTTACATTCTAGCAAGAGAATCATCAGGAAAACTAACAAATGATTAATTTATGGGATATGTTTTGTAACTGTAAGTACAACTTGCTGTGAAAAGCTAAGAAGGACATCAAACTCCACTCAAGGGAAAAAACTGGGAAAAAAAATCTATCTATCTATCTATCTATCTATCTATCTATCTATCTATCTATCTATATATGTCACAGGAGGCTTACAAGCAGCAAGGCAAATATATTTGGAAAAGAATAAAACTTAACAGAGAGAGACCAGGCTGAGGCAGAAGGATGGCCTAAGCTTAGCAGGTTGAGGTTACGGTGGCTGTGAGTGTGCCACTGCACTCCATCCTGGACGACAAGAGTGAGACTCCAACTCAAAAAAAAAAACAACAGAGAGACCAGTGCACAGGCTAGGCCTAACAAAATAATGAACTGAATTGAAAAAAAGGGGAGGTGATTTTAGATATACTTCAAACTCTGTCAACAGAATTTCTTTCAAATTAAAATTCTAGATTGGGTTCACGCTGGAACCCCAAGCACCCCCTGGAATCCCCCACATCATCATCAGAACCATCAATGAGATGCAAACGTGAAAGACAAGATGAGGAAGGATTGGACCTGGGTGGAGGCTGCCATTCTGTGAGAAAAAAATATGGTCTCCAAATCTGTAAACTCTCAGTGGCAACTCCAGGGATTTGTTTTAGATATAGATTCAGCTCTCAAGCTGCCTCATTTTCGTCAAAGAGGCACTAGTAAAACACCTCAACTCACCAGTGACAGCAAAGCAGATACTGGAAGTATTTCAGAAAGAAGGGTTAAAAGAAACAAGAATATTGGCAGATGGGGACTTCTGGCAACATGGTGATGTGGCAGTTTGGTCCGGGACACCCTCCGTGAAAAAGAACACCCATAAAGACTCTCACTCTCTCCCGGGGGCTGCGCTCTCACCGCTGCCACCTGCTCTTCATATGCTGCTGGGCCACCGCCCCCAAGGCTGCTCCCGCCTGAGGCGACCTATGGCTCCCGGACTGTGAAGCTCCCCCCTAAGCACCGCACTACTGAAGCCACCGGTGCCACTGCCACTGCCATGCCCCACCCCTCACCCGCCCATGGAGCTCCTCCCACGTACTGCACTGCTGAAGTGGCGGCGGCTACTGCGGTCACCGTTGCCTGCTCTCTCCCACCCTAGGCAGCCCTTGGCTCCTGCCCCCATGGAGTTCTGGGCTCCCCCACCTACTGTACTGCTCCACCCTACCTGGCCCAAGTAGCCCAGTGCTATGCTGACCTGCATTGCCCGGCAGCCTCGCATTCTACCTTCCCAGCTGGGTGGGCTGCAGCAGAAGAGATCAGCTGGAGCCCTGAGACCAGCTCACTCTGCTGGGCCCATCCCGCAGCTTGGGATCCAAGATAACAACATCAAAATGGGAGGGGCAGAAGCCCCTCCCCAATGCTACACAGACACAGGCCAGATCTGAGTGGTAGATTTGGCAAGCAGCCCAGCATGTGATCCACCCTCCACAGCAGGGCAAGGGCAACTGACCCTAACTGTGAGTAACTCCACCAGCCTGCAACCAGTGCTAGAAATCAGAGCTGAAAGGACATTGGACTTAAAGGTAAAGTCTCAGAGTGTGCTTGGTTCCCTTGTTTTAATTTTTTTTTTTTTATTCTTTGTCTGTCTTACCCATCTTTTTTCCCCTTTTCTCTTTCTTCTTACTGTTATCAATAATGTTTTTATATTTGCTTTGGTTCTGTTAGTTTCCTGACTTTATTCTATTTTATTTTTTTCTCTTTAGATCTCATGTTTGTATAAAGGACTAGTATACCAGTAAGGAGGTTGGTTAGCTTGCATGCCTGTATGATTGTATGTTTTAGTTTTTTTGTATGTTTGTTAATTTGTTTGCTGTTTTTTTAAATTTACTCATATCTGTCTTTGTGTCTCTTTTCATTTGATAGTCGATACATTTGTCTGTTTTCTCTCTTCTCTCTCTCCACCTTCCTCTTCCCCCCACTCCCTGTTGCATTCTTTTCCTTTTTCTTATCTCATTTTGCTTTCAGGGAGTAAACCTATAACCACACTGTATGGACAGACTGCAAGGCAGTGGAAAGTGGGTTCCGGATTATCCATACACCTATTGGTGGATACTGGGATCTGCAGATAGATTTTGAATCACAGCTCCCCCCTTCAAATGAATCTCAAAACTGCAAAAAGGATCACCTCCAACCTACAGTCCAGCTTCAGAATTGAACAAAGTCAGAGGATATACATAAGGAAGAATAGGAGACTGAGCAAACAGAAGCAAGCAACCCGTCCAACCCTGAATAAAAGAATTGAAGAGGACAGGGAGAAAAAAAGGAAAAAGTGGGGAGGAAAATTTACACAAATGAAGAAAAACCAAAATATGGGAGGTCAGACACTGAGAAAACAGATCTCAAATGCAAACAATGAAGAGCCCCCAGAATGACTGGCCATATATGACAAACCCAGACATCAAGACATTAATAGAGAGAATAAAAAGAATTGAGGAGAGACAACAGGAAAATAGGAAGGAGTTGATATCTGAAATAACAGCAGTAAAGAATACTGTGATGGATATACATAACAAACTAATAAGCATGGAAAGTAGAATTAGCCAAGTAGAAGAAAGAATCTCAGAGCTTGAAGATCAGATATAGAACTAACCCAAACTGCAAAAAAACAGAAAAGAAGCGTAAAAGAGAGAACAAAACCTTTAAGAGATGAATAGTTGGCTTCAAGAGACCAAACCTAAGAGTAATTGAACTTCCTGAGGCAAAAAAGAGACAGAGACCACCCTTGAACAAACATTCCTTGAAATTATTCAAGAAAACTTCCCTCATCTCATCAGTGATGCAAAAATTCAAACACGAGAGATTCAGAGAACTTCTGCAAGACAACCAAATGAGACCAACTCCCAGACACATAATAATTCACCCAAACAACATAGGTATAAAAGAAAAAATCCTAGCTGGGCTTGGTGGCTCAGCCTGTAATCCCGTGCCTTTGGGAGGCTGAGGTGAGTGGATTGCCTGAGCCCGCGGGTTC